GTAGGGAAAAGGGAAGGGAAGCCTTCATCGCCTTTTGCGAGAAGGTGATTAAAACAAAGGAAATGGCCGAAAGGGAGAGGGAGGGTATTCCCCTATAATAATTGTTAAGGAACGAATGAATGTAAGCATAACTTGAATGAATGTAAATAACGTATATAATTAGGGAAATAGGAAGAGGGATGTTCAAACCGATTACCGGGATGAACAGGGGTTAATACCCCGACACTGTTGGGTAGAGGGGGGGCTTCTCCATCTCTAACTTAGCTCCCCCTCTCCCAACAGCCTGTCGCACACATGTATGCGATTATAGGAGGGCCACGTACAACTACACCGACTAGCGGGGTAGCTGGGCCAAACTAAAAATGAGATCGCGTGTAGGAAAGGTAGATTGGACAACAGTCCAACCTTCCGGAAACCCGTGGAGTGACTAATGGGGGCATGACACTACGTGTGTGAAGTTGGCACCTCATCTTTTGGCACCGCAAGTTTTGATAAGAGTTCCATTGGCACCCGCAATAGTTCTATAGTTCCTGATAAGTTATATAAATAGTTCCGTTGATTTAGCTAAAAAAAATAACACTTGAAAATTTGAGGTGCTAACTTCCCGTGGCACCGCAAAATTCGAAAAAATCAATCGAAAACAAGTAATCTTATAGTTCTCGATGAGTTCTACAGTTCCTGATAGGTTTTAACAATAGTTCCGGCCTCTAAGTAATTTTAAATAATAATTAAAACCGCGCGCTGGCACCGCGCTGGCACCGCACCACAAGAGTAAAGTACCTCTTAACAGCCAGTTCCAGCCTTCTTTTCGGCATTTTCCGATAGTTCTACAATAGTTCCAACGATTTCTATACACTTCGTTCAGAGTTCTGTCATTTAAATATGTTTAAATAATTTTTTAATCTGAGCGCTGGCACCGCACCACAAGAGTAAAGTATCTCTTAACAGCCAGTTCCAGCCTTCTTTTTGGCATTTTCCGATTGTTCTACAATAGTTTCGACGATGTTTATAGATTTCGCTCACAGTTCTGGTCTTTAGATATTTTTTTAAAGGTTGTTAAATTGCGCGCTCTGACACCCTAAGATAACGTACCTCTTAAGGAGGTTGCAAGGTCATAAAACACATATATTAACATTTATGCTTTAAACAAGCCACATTCATGTGAA